GGGAAAGTTCATTGGTTACATGACCCAAATTGATGCATTAAATCAATGATGTGATTGACACGTTGCAAATATCTGAGTGAAAACAGGTGCTGATGTTTTGGTGCCTCTTCTTATAACAACCAAAGACTGACACTTCGACACTAATCCAGTCCCTGTAATAACTAATGTGGTGATACCCTGAGTCTGTTGCAGGTAAAAATCCTGGAGAAAACCTTACAGTGGCTCCACTAAAATTCAACACAACTGAGGTGAGCGAGGAGGTTGGCAGAAGATGTATCACTTCTCATTTCTTACCTCTCCCCATCTCGCCTTCCTGCAGGATGAGATTGCTCACTCGGGCAAGTGTGTTTGACATGGTTTGATTACTGACCTTGGTTTTATGGCACTGCTATTCAGCAGACAAAAATGAGGAAAGGGTCAAGAGGCTTTTAATCACAACCCACAGCAGGTTGGGGACAGCAGTCTTAAGAAAAACTTGGCTTTTAAATAGCCTTTTACAAAACAAACGTTATCTGTTCCCAGCTTCTGTCAGCTTCTTTCCACATCAGCTTGGCTACCCACATGTGCAGAAAGATCTTCAACTAAATTAGATGATAAGAATTAAACCCAGCCTCACAGAATAAAAAAATGGTAGTTCTTGATCAGCACATCCAGAAGTAGCAACCAGCTGAGCTGCAGGCAGGACCTTCTGGCATTTTTGCAATTGTCTTAGCACTTGAAATGCTTAATTTAAAAAAAAAAAAATAATTATTTATTTATTTTAGTTGCCATATTAACCAATGCAAGCAACCTCAGATTCCACTAAGGCCTGAGAAATGCTTTATCTATCCTTCTGAACGCTGTGATTCAAGGCAGCCGCCTCCTTTGTACACAGCAGAAAGAATTACAGCTGTACAACCTGGAGTCGTACACCTCTGGAGACGGCGCAATCCGGTTACGCAGCATTCCTCTTTCACGGGTGGTTCCTGAGCCTTTAGGATGTACATTTCCAGATCTGATCCAAACCAAAGGATAAGGTGCTTATTTGTGTCTCATGAAGCAGGCTGCCTTGCCAAATCCCAAGCCAGGAATCATTACAAACAAACAGCTCGAGGCACAGCCAGCACCTGTGAGCAGGCTCAGGCCAACAGCACGCTCAGCACCAGGTCTAACATGACCCAGTGCCAGGGGTGGCTGACAAGCATCTGCCCAGCCAGAACCTTCACAGGGACTTGCACCCTCCTTCATGCAGCTGCAGGAAACCTGGACCTTCCTCTCAGGGCCTGGCCATGGAGACCAAGGCCCCCGAGCATATTTGGAGGAGCTGAAGCAAAGTCCTTCTCCACACATCCATTATTTAACCCAATTCCCCTTTGCTTGGCTGCTATTGCTGGGAGAACGAGGTAAATGCTGTTAAATCTCAGCAGTGTGGACTGAGTTGGGGGACAGGGAAGGATTTGGTCCCAGATGGCAAAGTTGAAATTTTGAGCAGGAAATAATGAGAGTGCCATCCTACAACATGCAACCAAACCCCTCAATGCTGGATGAAAGTTCTCAGCCTTTCACAAAAAGCCTCTCAGACTTGCTGAGAGAAGAACAGGTTTCACAGCTGGGGGCAGAGGACACCGGGAAAAGATTCTAGTTGAAACTTTCCATCTTTTAAGTCAGTGCTCACAGCAACTGCTTTTAACCACCTGTCCAAATCCATTAAGATTATAATCTTCTCAGTCACAATATGGAAAGAAGTTACGAGGTGTTTGTTCAACCTTTGCTCACCCACCGTTGCCCACACACCCAGGTCCAGCACTCTGCCCCTCCAGCTCAGGAATGTGGCAGCTGAGCAGTACAGGTTGGGCAGCCCACGCTCTTTGCCGCTGCGGACAAGCCCCTCAGCCAGCTTTTACTGTACCCTGCTCCAAGCAAGCAGTTCATCCTCTGCCTGTATCAGCCGCTAAAATTAACCTTCCAATTAATTAATTAATTGGCGCAATGTGGCAACCCAGTTTGAGCCCCACCAGCAATGTTGTGTGAGGCAGGAAATTACAAAAGGTTTTTTTCAGAGGCGCTACAGAAATCCCCTGCAGACTAAAGGAGGACTTCAGAGTTCCCAGCTTGGGGCTTGTGGTTTTCTTTGAGCACGAGCGAGTCATCAGAGCTGGTCAGGAACCCAGGGTGGCTCCTGAAGCACATACGTTGTGTCAGCTCTCATCCCTCAGACACCTGCAGCGTGAAGGGTGTCCCATGCCCCGCAAGCAGCATCTGCCCTCCCCGGGGGTAGGGTGGGGGGAAAGAAACCAGCACTCACGATTTCAGGAATGATGAGCACATCTGGGAAAGTTGTCAGGACAGCCAGGCCGCTGGGCAAAGAACTGGTGGAAGTTGCCGAGGACATTGCGAGTCTCTCCCACGGTGACTGTCAGCAGCTCTGGCTGTAGCTGCCGGAGGTAGTGAAATGCAGCCTCCTTCCCTCCCT